GATCAGTTAACAAAGTCTTTACGCATTTCTCTAGCAATTGATCAGTGTCACGGGGGTCAATACGTACCACATCATCTGGATTGTAATGCAATGCTATTTCAACATGCTGACATGGCATGTCAAAGAACTCTTTCTGATTAGTGAAACCAAAAAGAAGTCATCTGCCAAAGGATCAGAGAACAAGCAAATCAACGAGTTATAGAAACAAGATATCAGGTCCTATACATTGTTCTTTTAAAACATCTCATATAATCAAATCTCGATTGTTATTAAACGAGGACTAAGATTTCTGGTATATGGACATAGCAGTTAATATCTGGTATGTGAATTTTCTCGTATAACATTTGAGCATCTTTGCATGCATTATCGCTTTCGGATACTATGGCTCTTAAGATCTTTGTATATATTCGTTAAGAATATTTTCTACCACGCAGACAACAGAAGCTTCCAATTGGAGGATTAATTTTAATTTGTATCCACAAAGGATCAATTTAATGATGAACAATATTTAAATATTGCTTTTTTACCCTCCCTTCCTACAATTCAAAAAACTTCATTGAGCAATAAGCTTAGAATAGTTCTTCTGATCTCCACATTGATGCAATGTACTGTATTGCTTCATTCAAGGCCAGATAATTGCTAGTGAAACTTGACATTTTGCTTCATTCAAAGACATCTCAATCACTTAAATTAAGTCCCTTAATTAGCAACTTCTAGTCTTTATGGTGCAGGAGCCGATAACGAAACACTGATTTTGTTGAGATTTAGAATCCCACTACAATGAATTCGATTGTCTGAAACACCACTTAAGTTGGTAAGACTTAAGATACAGAGATAAAATAAGAGAATTCACTCTCAAAACTCACTTAACAAAGGAGAATTATAAACTAAAAATTTTGATTAAAACTTGATGCATACAATGCATACAACGGCGGGAACATGGCTATTTATAGGCAAAATCCAACTAAGGTAATAAATAAAAGCAGAATACAGTTGGGAGTTAGCCATTTTTGTGGACTTGGGTAGCCATTTTTGCTGACTTGTGGCCATTTTGACAAAGATGCACCAGCCTATTGTAGTTGGTGGTGCTGCAGAGTAGCTTCTGCATGCTTGCTGCATTTTTCCTGGTGCAGTAATGGTGCTTTCTCCCGATGCACTTTAGCTCTCCACAGGTTATGTTAGCTGCTTCTGTTTGTTTGGAGCTAAGCATTCTGAATAGTGAAACTGAAAATGAAGAAGTCATATAGAATGGATTAGAGAACAAGTAAAATAAACCTTTCACTTTGATTCCCATGACTCTTACTAGCTCAAACTATAAAAACAACTGATTGTCTCCCTACCAGATTGGCTCCATAATCCAACTGATTGTCTGACCAACATCTGCAGTAAAAAGGATAGGTAACGGAATAGCAAGCAACAAGTGAAGCCTCACATACAGCCAAAAGCACGTCCATCCCTCCATGATTGATTGTATTTTGTCTTTCAATTTGTAACTTTCTCAATTTGGTGTTGGCCTGGTGTACTCCTGGTACCCGCAACACATAATAAAGTTCTCTTTGCATTTAAAAAAAAAAAACTATAAAAACAAGCTAAAAACGAAAAATTTCAATAGGATGTTACAAGAAGCTAAGCCTTAAAGTTTGATTTTACTTTTACATTAGTGAAGAATCAATAGATTTGGCAAACGGGTCGAATTGGGTGGGTTCGGATTAGGTCGTTTCGGATTTTGAGTTTTTTGGATTGGATCATTTCGGATGTCAAATTGAAGGAGTAAACCCATGATCCACCCATACAGGTCTTGAATTGGGTCGGATGGACCCAATTTTTAAAAAATTAAAATTAAAATTAAATTTTTTTTATATTTTTCTTTATTTTTCTTTAACAAAATCTAATATTAATTAACTATTTAG